GCAGGGAAACCCCAGGAACAAGACCATGGGTGAACGGATATTGGATCTACCGGTATTTCTATAAACTCTCAAAATGGTTTTTAAAATTGCCAGTATTAACATGCGTAACAATAAATCTACTAGGCAATTTGTTTCCATGTAGGCTTACCTGGCCTATGTCAAATCATACTTCCTGTTTCTGCAGGAGTGTGGGATACCACAACTCAGCAGCTACAAGAAATGGTCAAGCTTATGGGCCCATGGACCTTTGATTTGGTCGGGGGGAAATGATTGCCATTCCTCTAGCCTGTGTATTCTGCTGTGAGGAGGCAACTTCACCATCTCCGAAATTAAGGAGGTGGAGAGTGGGTGCCTCCTCATAGCAGACGTTATGTATGGAAACACTCCCCTGAGACTAATTAACATGTGTGCCCCAGGGGTAAAGAGTGAGCGGCTGGTCATCTTGCAGTAGCTCCCATTGCTGCTGGCGATGTCCAGGTTGGCCATTCCAGCTAGACACTTCAACTGCATGACCAATGCAGATGACAGTGTGGAGGGGCTGATAGCAAACTAGATGCCATGACTAGATTCCTGTTAGAAATGAGTAAAGTTGCCAAGCTGCACAACGGCTTCTTCACCCCTGCAGAAAAAACACAGCATAGATGCACTTGGTTGCGATATGCTCATGGATGGATTTCCTGTTTGTGTCCTGTTCCTTCAGATCCACTGATTGTCAAGCCAATGCTCTTCTCAGAGCACTGCATCCTGCTGGCCAGTTGTCACCTACAGGATGACCAATGGGCCAGCAAGGGAACGTGGAAGCTGAAAGTGAAACTGTTGACCCCAGAAAACATTGTGGAGCTCGAAAGGGATTTCACAGGTTGGAGAACCATGAAGCCTTTCTTTTGAGTTTCCAGCAGACTGGTAGGAAACAGTCAAAGGGCACATCAAGAGGTTCTTTATCCTCAAAGGGGTTCAGAAGGTGGGAGAGGCAGGGAAACTGTCCAAACTCCAGAAAGACATAAAGGCATTCCTACTCCAGACGATGGGGGTCAGTGTCTCAGATGATCTCCAGGAGGTGAAGAGCTAGAAAGCCTCGCTCTTTGCCTCGGAGGCCTCCGAGATAATCCTCTGGTCCAGGGTCTGCACTGTGGAGCAGGCTGAGACGTGCTTAAGTTTCTTCTTTCCTAAGTTGCACAAGGAAAGCTGTGTGCTCAGCAGTCTGAAGAAGATGATGATGGCTCACTAACATCCTGAGAATCAGCAAATCCTTTTATGCCAGATTGTATGACACAAAGCCCACAGACAGCACTGTCTCCCAGTCCTTCCTGTCCTCTATCACAGAGGTCTTAGATGACAGTACGCAGGAGAGGCTGAACCAGCTGTTCTGTCTGGATGAGCTGACCAAGGCCCTTGAGTCCTCGGAAGAATAAAACTCCTGGAAATAATGGCTTAGCAGCTGAGTTGTATTTAGTTCTGTGGGACTTGATTGGCTAAGACCTCTTGGAGGTGTACAATGATGTGTTTCTGACAGGTAGCATGTGCAAATCCATGAGGAAAGTTATCATCAACCCTGCCACGCCCCTCAAAACAAGTGGATGGGGGAGAGGGAGGTAATTTGAAATTGGTTGCCAATTTCATTGCTGAATGCAGATTACAAAATCCTCTCTGGTGTCATTGCCAACTGAGTCAGATCTTTTCTGGGATCAGTGATACATCCTTACCAAACCTGATCTGTACCAGGCAGGATGGTCTGTGAGAGCCTCGCGCTCCTTAGGGTTACGATCATCTACGTGCAGACAGGGGTGTGGATGACTGCCTCATCAGCCTGGACCAGGAGAAGCTTTTGACAGGACATCACACACCTACATGTGAGATGAGCTGTCCAAAACCAGTAGTGCAGTATCAACCAATGGGTAGGAATCAGAAAGTTTCCCATCCAGATCCAGAGTCAGCTCACTCTCTTCTGCCTTGTTGGGGTGTTGTATAGAGCCTTTTGCTTGTCCATCAGGAAGGATGCGAGCCTGAGACGGGTGATGGTTCCAGGCAGCGGAGCCCTACAGATCAAAGCATTCCTGTACATAGATGGCGTCACCATTTTCTGCTTGCATCTGCTGTCAGTGCATAGACTCATGGGCATCTGCAACCCATTCAAATTGGCCTAGGGAGCCAAGGTAAATCAAGGCAAGAACGAGGCCATGTTCTTTGGGAACTGGGCTGACTGATCCTTTAAATCCTTCAATGTCAGGGCAGAAAACTCAAAGAGCTGGGAATATGGTTTGGAAGAACCAGGGTGTGTGCAAGAACTTGGGAGCAGCATGTCATCAAGGTGATGCAAACCCTGAGCTTTTCAGAGCACTGCTGCGTCTCCATTACAAGTAAAAATCTGGCTATCAGGTGTGAGGTACTCTGTTGTTGAATGTGGCACAGGTCAGGCCCATTCCCAGAAATGGCGCCATTGCAATCACCTGAGATATCTTTCACTTCATCTGGACATGTCAAATGGATTGTGTCTGCAGGGACTCCATGTACAAAACTCTGGATAAGTGGGGGAAGAACATACCCAACGCCACCCTTATCCTGATGGCCACCTTTGTGTGCGGCTGCATCAAGCTGTGCATAGGCAAACACTAAGTGTCACCATGTACTGAAGTTCTGCTTCTCCCTGGTGTTGCAAAGGATGGGCCTGGCCTCATTGTCCTGGAATGCTCCAAGTAGTTGGACTGTTCTGTATCACCTGCCTTTCATGGAGAAATTTGCAAAGAAAAACAGTTCTGACCACAAGTCCATCAGGAAGTGGTCAATACATAGCATCCTCAAGAACTTGTGGGAAAATGAAAGGTGGATCCTGTCAGGTTGTTCCCTGAGCAGACTGTCAAAGTCATTTGGCAGAATGCCTCATCAGAACTTTCCAACAAGCACCAAGACATCACTTGGCTGGTGGTAAGAAAGGCACTACATGTGAGATCCTTTGTGTAAACCTCACCTCTGTGTGCCATCGCATGTTGCCCTCAAAGCGACCACAGGGGAGGCTGGGAGGTGGGGTAGAGACTCTCACACATCTCCTGCTGGAGTTTGCCTTCGTAAAGGAAGTCTGGAGAAAGATGGAGTGGTTTTTGTTGAGGTTCATTCTGAGCAGCTCCGTGATGCAGGGCTCTGTGCTGTATGGTTTCTTTCCCAGGACTCACACCAAAACAGACATGGACTGCGCCCAGAGGATCATCATCTTGGTGAAAGACGTGGTTTGGTCTGCCCAAAACTTGCTGGTCTTCCAAGCCAAGGAGTTGACCTCAACTGAGTGTCGTAGACAGAAGCATTCCAAGATCCAGGATTACATGTTGAGGAATGCATTAAAGCTTGGTGCAACTGCCACCAAGGCGCAGTGGGAAAAGCCACCATCTAAGGTCTTTCTACTGAAGTTAAAATGGGTGTCCATTCGGTTATCATACCCTTCTGGTGTCTCAAATGTAAATATAGTCTTGTACAACTAAGAAATACCTTTGTTTGTTGTTGGATAGAGTCAAACCCCAATTTCTGTTTATCTGTATGCTGCTGAACTGCTTTCTTGATCATGTATGCATATAAATATATTTTTATGAATAAAGTATATTTTGAAGTGAAAAAAGTTTAGCTAAGATGGGCTGACATTCTGTGTGGTTCATGATCATACTGCAGCACAGAATGTGTTGACAATGGGGAAAGAAAGAAATTTTTGGTGATGAAATTTTTATTTAAACATAGAATGTTGAATGTGATTCATAATTTTCAAAATACAATATCTGCAGATTCCTTTTTGAAAAGTTCTAGTGCTGCAGGTGAGGCCACTTTGCCTGGTTATGACTAATGGGATCTGTTGAGAAGGAGCTGGATAGCAAACAGTTACAAAATTCTTATTTCACAGTGTTTAGGTAACACTATCAACTTGAAGTAAAATGTATGCATAGCTCCATACATAATGGAGATAGTAGGAACTACCGATGCTGGAGTCTGAGATAACAAGGTGTAAAGCTGGATGAACACAGCAGGCCAGGCAGCAGAGGAGCAGGAAAGCTGATGTTTCAGGTCTGGACCCTTCTTCAGAAATGAAGAAGAGACTGTAGAGACTGTCACACATCTCCTTCATTTCTGAAGAAGAGTCCAGACCTGAAACATCAGCTTTCCTGCTCCTCTGATGCTGCCTGGCCTGCTGTGTTCATCCAGCTCTACACCTTGTTATCTCCATGCATATTAGTCTGTGATTTACGTACTTTTTAAAATTAAGACTTTCTAGAAGTTGAGCTTTGTTTACGTGATTATAGAAATAAATATTTGTAAAACAATGTTGAATTGATGCTTCTGACTTTTTAAAACAGATACTACAATTTGTTTTATGTAATGAGCAAGACTTCTTATCCCTAATGAAACTAATTTTGTAAAATTATTATCTCTATATTCTACTTGAATTGTAACATCAAATTTCTTTGTAGGTACAATTGTATATTGAGAAGCACATTTCCAATGCATACAATTCCAGTATAAAGCATAATAGAAAGAAAAGCGAAGCCATGATTTTTAAACTGAGAAGAGTGGCCTGTCTGAAGAGCTGCCAGTACAGGCAGTGCCCTCTGCCCCCTAAGAATTTAGCTATATGTCTGCAATGTTGCCCAAAAAACATGGAAACCGCAAAAACTGAACATAAATTAACCAAAAATTGTTTTCTTTCCAGAAGCTAATTGAAGATTTTCAAGTTTTTAATGTTTCTATTGGAAATCACATGTGTTGTACATACTTCAGATCAGTTTTACATGGACCATTTTTAGGTGAATTGTTTGAATGATTGTACAACAATAATTGTAGTAGTGGTGTAAAGTTTTTGAATTTCCAGTAGTGAGGTGAAATGTTGAGAGGATAACAAATGCGTCATATAATGTTTCACAACAGTAATTTATTCTGATAAGCATTTCCCATTTTGAGGGAAATTCTTTGTTTATTCCTCACTTCTGTGCACCACCGCATGCTCCCCTCAAAGCGATTACAGGGGAGGCTGGGATGTAGGGGCCTGAAGGATGGGATAGAGACTGTCACACATCTCCTGCTGGAGCTTGCCTTCGCAAAGGATGTCTAGAGAAAGATGGAGTGGTTTTTGTTGAGATTCATTCCAAGCAGGGTTTGTCATCTTAAGACCTATTTTTAGACAACAGTTTTAATCTAATAAATGTTGATTTGATCAATAACTCATGTTAGTTCTATGGCCTTACATGGCTGGATTTAAATTACTACTTTAAAACTTTCATGAATTGGCATCAGTTTGCTGCAGACAAATTAAATTTGTTCAAGAAATCAGGTTAATATTGACTTTTTGCAACCAATTAGCAGGGATATGTGATTGTTAACTGCAAAAAGCAACCACATTTTCAAAGCCCTGGCATTAGAACAGCAAATTTTAAGGTTCAAATATGGGTGTCTTGATGCTGTTTGTTGGTTAAAGGCTGCACAATATCAGATGACCCTGGGTTGAACAACATCAGGTTACTCTGGCCAGCAGAAAATGTGGCAGCAGGGATGAGGGCATCTCGATCATGGTGGAAGTTTAGAGAGTGGGCAAGAGCAGATATATGTGGCAATAGCAAAATTATTTTGAGGAGACATGGGAGTCACTCTTGGTCCTTCAAATCCAACAAAATTAATTTCTAATACTATTAGTGTGCTTCTTTAGCTCTTATCATCTATGGAGGAGAGTTTTATGTAATTATTATAACAAACTGAACAGCTGTCTTTAATATTCACTAAATCCCGCTTGCAATTTTATAGCATAGAGCAGACATTCATAGTTTCACTATTACAGTGACTATCATTATTTTCCCAAATGCAATTCTTAGTGAGTACTGAGTTCTGTCTTTCATTTGTATCCTATATCCTCATCTGATGTTTTATGATTCAGAGTGATGCCAACACATAGGTTCAATTTTGCACCAGCTGGGGTTATCATGAAGGACTCCTTCTCAACCTCTCCCCTTGCCTGAGATGTGGTGATCGTCATGTTAAACCACCACCAGTCGACACTCTCTAATGAGAAAGTAGCCCTATGGTCTAGTAATACTATGGCAACATTACCTTGTACAATAATAACCCCATCTCCATAACCTTTTGTATTTTCACTAGGTAGATTAATCATAGCTGCCATTTTAGGAAAGTGTATAGATTGTGAGGCAGTGGTGTCAATCTATATTGAAGTTATTTCAATAGACAGTGAACAGTTTTACATGGAATCTTATAAGACAACACCGAATATTTCCAACATGCAACCAATTTTTAATCCAATTTATTGTCTTGTTTCTAATTTCATAAATCCACTTACAGTTCTTCATGCATCATGTATGTACCTCAAAATAAGATATTCTCTCTCTCGCCACTTCTAACGATCTTTTCTTTTTCCACATACATGGTAATTTGACCTATATTAGCAAAGTTGCTGGAAAAGCTAAGCAGGTCTGGCAGCATCTGTGAAGGAAAAAAGCAGAGTTAATGTTTCAGGTCCGGTGACCCTTACTCAGAACTGATGGTGGCTGAGAAAATGTTAGTTTATATGCAGAAAAAAGGCGGAGGGAGTGGGGTAGGGAGTAAATGATAGGATAGAGCCTAAAGAGAGAGAAGAGCAGTTGGACAGACAAAGAGTTGATAATGATCAAGCTGGGAGGGTGAATAGTTGTTAATGAGGACTATTAGTGACTAATATCAGGTACTGTGTAATGGCAGGCTGTGTGGTAACAAGGCCTGGTAATAGGGGATAGACTGGCCACTAATATCCACTACAAACCCACTGACTCCCATAGCTACCTGGACTATACATCCTGACACCCCACTTCCTGGAAAGACTTCATCCCATTCTCTCAGTTCCTCCATCTCTGCCTTATATGTTCAGATGAGGCCAGCTTTGACAAGGGAGCCTCCGAAATGTCCACCTTCTTCCTCAACGGAGGATTCCCCAGCTCCATGGTTGATAGAGCCCTCAACCAGATCCGACCCATCTCCCGTAACAGCGATAGGGTTCCCCTTGTCCTTACCGATTATCCCACCAGCATCCACATCCAGATGATCATCAGGCGCCATTTCTGCCACCTCCAGCAACATATTCCACCACCAGACACATATTCCCCTCCCCTCCTTTGTCCGCCTTCGACAGGGACCGTTCCCTCCGGGACACCCTGGTCCACACTTCCTTCACCCCCAACACCCCCTCACAGCCCTGCGGCACCTACCCCTGTAACCGGCAAAGGTGCAATACCTGCCCATTTACCTCCTCCCTCCCCAGTATCCAAGGGCCCAAACATACCGTCCAGGTAAAGCAACACTTCACCTGCACTTCCCAGAATCTAGCCTACTGCATTCGCTGCTCACAATGTGGTCTCCTCTACATTGGGGAAACGAAGCATAGACTAGGTGACTGCTTCGCAGAACATCTAAATTCTGGTCACAAAAAAGACCCTGAACTGTCCGTTGCCTGTCACTTTAACGCACTGCCCTGTTCTCTGACCAACATATCTGTCTCTGGCTTGCTGCACTGTTCTAGTGAAGCTCAACGCAAGCTGGAAGAACAGCACTTCATTTTCCACTTGGGGACCCTGCAGCCCTCTGGACTCAATATTGAGTTCAATAATTTTAGGACCTAAACTCTCCCATGTCCCAGCCCCCTACCCCACACACCAGGTCTTGTTATCACATAGGTTGCCATTACACACTACCTGTTATTAGTCATGTTATGAAACATCACCATCTGCAGGTTCACCTCCATGACATGCACCATTTTATTGCTGTTCCTTTATTAGTGCTGGCTATTACTTCTGAAACTTGCCTTCAGAAAATGTACACCTGTACCACATTAACTGTAGCAATTTGAGACAGTGGCTCATCACTATCTTAGAGGCAATTAGAATGGACAGTAATGCTGATACCCACATTATGTGAATGAATAAAAATGCAAAGTTGACAATCCTCAACTGTAAGGGGTCTCAATTTGCTTTACAAAATTATCAGAATTACAAAATACTTTGCTCCTTTGGATTTACATTTTTCACTCATATTCCACCTTACCTTTCCTTATCCTATGTTTAATGCTTTTTAAAGTTATTTTTCTTATTCTCCTTAGTTTTTAAAAATATTAATGCTCTTATATGCTCACTTTAATTAATTACTTAGTTGGTTTAGTCATTGGAGAGGGCCAGGTGGATCCATTGAGTATGAGATCATTGATTGGGGCTGTTAACCCAGACCAATCAGGGTGCCCTGGCTTACAGATATAAACAGGAGACTGAGGGAGTCTCTTCAATCTAGGGACTGGCTCTAAGCTGGTTGGTCAGAGTCTATGTAAATAAAGAATGACTTGGTGACAGGATACTGGCCTCTGTGCAGTTATTTCAATGGTGATGAGAGTAGGGCAGTATGCTGCTGAAGAAAATTTTGCTCAACAGTCATCTTTGAGTGGGGTGGGGGGTAAGCATTTATGACACCATGCCATTATTTGGGAAGCTTAACTTGTTCAATCCTGTTGACAAAGACTGGGCCAGTATGTGGAAATAATGTGTTTTTTTTTCTGGGCAGATGAAAAACAATGAGTAATCCTTTTGACAGAAACACTGCATTTTTGGTTATTAGGAGCCAAACTTACCTGGAGGCTCCAGATACCAAAACCTTTCAAGAATTGATGGATTTAGTTAAGGAATATTATGACCTCGAGCTTCCTCTAATTCTGAAACACTATCATTTTATTCAGCAGTTCAAATACCAGGGGAATCTATTTTGGGATTTTTGATGAGGTCAGGATGACTGGCAGAGGCACGTGAGTTTGGGTTAACCCTGAATGAGATACTGAAAGACTGTTTGTTTGGTATGTCGGATTAATGACATAACAATTCAAAAGCACTTACTAGCCCAACTGGACTTAAACTGGCTTGGTCATTAGAAAATGCAGCAAGTGGACTATGTGAGCAATAGGGCATCCCATTGGAAGTTGACATCCTCACTTGTCTGATTGAGCTTGGTGAGCTCTATGCAGAGCCTCGAAACGTATATCCTGAGCAGAAGGACCCTAAGTCAGCCCACAACAAAACCCCAAAACAAAGCCAAGCCTTAGCAAATGGCTAAAATGTTCTGGGTGTATAGGTATAAGGCTGAAAAAGCACAGCAGGTCAGACAGCATTCAAGGAGCCGGTAAGTCAACCTTTCAGGCCGAAACCCTTTGTCAGAACTGAAGAGTTTCGGCCCAAAACATTGACTTACCTGCTCCTTGGATGCTGTCTGACCTGCTGTACTTTTCCACCCTCACACATATACACTCCGACTTCCAACATCTGCAGTACTTACTGTCTCCAAGTGGCTAAAATGATTTTTCAGGATCCGGGTAGGTATGTGGAGTGGAGACAGCAAAGGCATCCTACAAGGCCTGACTTGAGTAAGAGAACTTTATAAGCCAGTATCCAAGAGAGTACCCACCCTGGAAAGTCCACCTACATGTAGTTGGGAACAGCTAAATTGCTTAGCAACATCCAAATCCTAACCAATCAAAATAAATATCTAGTTAAATGGTCACCCGATTCTCATGGAGGTCAGTATCGGTGCAGCTGTACCAGTGATTGCAGAAACCAGTCTTTAACAAGTTTCACTCTAGACTCCAATCCTTAAGTTTGCACAGGATCTCAGCCAGACTGAGAATGTATATCAGGGAACTGTTACAGATTAATGGTCCGACTTCTATTCCAGTCTCCTATGAGAAGCAGTTGATGCGGTTACCACTGATTGTAATAAAAGGCTCAGGCCCAAGCTTGATGGGACAGAATTAGTTGAGAAAGATTCACCTTGATTGGCTTAACATTTTTTTGATGAGAAAATGGCTGGCTGAGTGAAGTCCTAATTAAGTAACAAAACCTTTTTAAGGAAAGCCTAGGGACTATCAAAGGAGCCAAGGCCACCTTACATGTTGACCAGGAAGTAATTCTGTGATTCTACAAGGCCCACCCTTTGCCTTGTGGGCAAAAGTAGAGGCAGAAATTAGGAAGCTGGAAAGTGAAGGAATCATCAAACCAGTACAGTCTGCGAATAGGCAGTGCTGATCGTACTGATTGTGAGGCCTGATGGCTTGGTTTGCCTTTGTGGGGATTTTATGTAAATGGCAAACTGCTTCTCACAGCTGCATAAATACCCAGTCCCTTGCATAGAGGATGTGTACTTAACGGTTGGGACACTATTCTTCACAAAGATGTAAGCAGAGTAACAGGGCTGTTTGCGGACTCTTGCCCAGAGCCTATCGGCTCCCGTCTGCTGTCCTCCTTTGTTTTAGTCTTGCTACTACTACTGTTTTCTTGGCTTTATTTTCCTTTTCTTTTGGTCTTTCTTTTCTGTGGCAGGTTGGCCAACAGCACTGCCATGGCGGCGAGAACAGGCCATAAGCAGAGTAGCTGACATGGCTTCTCCTAATGAAAGAAAGCAGCGAGTTTGTTTTTCTGGCAATAGGAGGCAGTGGCAGCTAGTGTGAAAGCTCACCATTCAGAATCTATGGCAGCAGCAGTGAGTGCATTCTCCTAGCATTGGGGTTAGTGGCAGCAGTTGGGGGGGGTCACTCTCCCTGTGTCGGGGTCGGTGACAACTGCAGCAAGGTTGTTCTCCCGGTGTCAGGGCCGGTGGCAGCACCAGCAAAGCTCTTCCAGCAATAAGGGACAGCAGTGCCAGCAGCAGTGGACTTTTCAAGATGGCGGCGCCGGCAAGGTGACATCTGCAACCGAGTGGGACTCGTGGCCCAGCAGTGGCTGTGTCTGGCAGGGGAGCCAGAGACTCTTGGTTGTGGGGTGAATGTGGGCTCAGCAGCAAAGAGATAGCACGTAAAGTGGGGTAACTCCTACGTTGATGAGTCTGGCACAGGTGGAGGTCCCTCAAGAGCATGAGTTGGCATGGACTGGGTCGGAAAGACTGATATTCTGAACTTCTAACTTCTTTATTTTTCTTATTTATTTGTATGACCTATAAATGCTGGCCTATTTATTTCTTTACTTTTCTATTTGTTTGTTTCCCAGGAATTTGATCTTCAGTATCTGTTCTAGGTACCTTTATACCTGATGGAGCTGTATTGTGATGACTAAACTTTTCAATGCACTCAGTGAAGCTAATTCGAAGATGGGCACAAGCCAAGCTTACCTGCAATTGCAACTAAATGAGGGGTCCCAGAAGTATGCCATAATTAATACCCATAAGGGTACAAGACAACCATTTGGGGGATCATCAGCCTGCGCCCTTTTTCAGCAGATGATGGAAAACATTTTACAAGAACAACCTCAGGGTGCCATTTATCTGGATGACATGCTAGTAACTAGGAAGAGCAATAAAGAGCACTTGGATAACTTGGACATTGTGCTTAAACAGTTCTCTCAGGCATCCATATGCCTTAGAAGGGAAAAATGTGAGTTCCAGACACCCCAAATGATCTACTTGGGCTACAGAGTGGGCAAGGTTTTAGAGTAGACTTGTCAAGACTAGGTTCACCCATCGGTAAATAAAGCAAGGACAAGCAAAGGTGCCCCAGCTCCTGTGTCCGGGAGCTTAGGTCTTTTCTTGAGTTGGTTAATTATTGCAGGAAATTAATACGTAACCTGTCCAGGATTTTGATACCCTTACACCCGCTGATGAAAAAGGGTCAGCCTTGGAAATGGTTGCGTAGCCAAGATGTAGCCTTTAGGGAAGTGAAAAAGCAGCTAAGTGGTTGGTCTTAAACACTTTAAAGTGTTGGCCCACTATGAACCCAAGCGAGAGATAGTGCTGACATGCGATGCCTTCCTGTACAGTATCGGGTTAGTATTGACTCACTGGTGGCCAAATGGAGAGAAGTGCCTGATAGCATATGCGTCCTGGACTTTGGCTGATGCCGAACATAAATACACCCAGATAAAGAAGGAAGGTTTGGCGGTCATCCTTGGCGTGAGAAAGTACCACCAATACCTTTACAGAAGTGAATCTGTAATAGTAATGGATCACAAACTCCTGCTAGGCTTACTTAAAGAAGACAAGGCCATGCCACCCATAGCTTCTGGTCGAATTTAGCAGTGGGCCTTTAATCTCAGTGTGTACAATTACAAAGTTGGAACACCTTTCAGAAGGCCAAGTGGCAAATGCAGATGGCAGATACATCACTGGTGGTGCTTCCCCTTGTACAGTTTATTTTGCTTTTAAATTTTTTGGACACCCTTCCAGTCACCATTGACAATATCCGACAATGGATGCAAAAAGATCCTGTGCTAGCAAAACTAAAGTAGCTAGTGACGATGGAGCAAACAAAAGGACCATGACAACCTTTCTGGACCCAGCGAGACCAAATCACCGAAGGGTTTGGCATATTACTATGGGGAGCAAGAATGATTGTCCCAAGATCGCCACCACATACTGGCTAAACTCCACCAGGGTCATCCAGAGGTGTCCAAAATGAAGATATTAGTGAGCCATTAGGTCTGGTGACCAGGATTGGATGCTGCCATAGCCACATTGGTGGGGTGGTGCTCACAGTGCCACTAAGGACAAAAATTACAGCTAGCAGCTCCCTCACATTTGTGGGAATGGCTGGGTAAACCTTGGACCCTGTTACACATCACCTATGCCAGTTCGTTCATGGCCACAATGTTTTTGGTCATTGTGGATGCCCATTCAAAGTGGTTGGATGTGCATAGACTTTATTTGCCATTTCAGGGATGATGATTGATAAGCTGCAAGCATCGGTCACGATACATGGACCCCCATAAGTATTGATAACGGACCATAGGACGTCTTTTACCAGTAGGTTTTTAAGTACTTCCTAAAGTTGAATGGCATTTGGCATGTTTGACAGCATCATTCCATCCATCATCCAATGGTCTGGCAGAAACATCAATCCAAACATTGAAAGCAGGCTTATAGAAACAGCAGACAGCCTCACTCAATACCAAAGTGTCCTTCCTCTTTAGTTGGGTGAAGGGTGGTCCTTTAATTACAGGGATAGCTCCAGCAGAGTTGCTGATGGGGAGAAGACTCTGCGTCAGGTTAAACCTGATATTCCCAGACGTTGTGGGGAGCGTGAAACAGCAGCAGGAATGCCAAGGCCGGCCACTTACCTCCTCTAAGCGAGAGAGACAGTTTACTTCAGGGGATGAAGTTTGGTGTCGAAACCATGGAAATGGCCCTGCATGGGTACGAGGTGGGGTTGACTCAAGGTCAGGAGCTGTGACATACAAATATCTGGGTAGGTGAGGCGCTCCTGAACAAACATGGATCACCTGAAAGCTGTTAGCTCGCCGTCTGGGCAGGAGCAAAACATGCCTTGCTCCTCAGAACAGCCAGAAAGGCTTTCAGAAATTGTGGTCTTTCCCCCTTTATCTAGCATCAAAGAAATCTCAGAGTCCGAGATGAATGCAGCCTCGATGCTGCTCCCACTTGAAGAAGAGGAGGAATCTCTTGAGTTATTGCGGGGACAAGAGACAGGCTTAGGTCTAGTACACTCTACCTGTGTCTGAGTCAGAGTCAAAGAAGCTACAAGAAAAAGATAGGCCTGCATGCCTGGACTCAAGGGAGAGGAATGTAGTGAATGGAACAAGGATCGGATGGATCTTATTGATTATGAGATCCTTGATTGGGGCTGTAACCTGGGCCAATCATTGAGCTCTGGCTGACAGATATAAACAGGAGATTCAGAGAGTCTCCTCACTCGAGGAACTGGCTGTAAGCTAGCTGGGCAAAGTCCATGTATTGTGCGTATGTAAATTAACGGTGACGGGATACCAGCCTCTGTGTAGTTATTTCTTTGAGTAATGCATCTGAACAACAAAGAGTTTTCTTGAACATTGCTTGAAACATTCAGTAATATGTTGATCTTTTATCAGAGTAAATATTAGGATGCCAAATTTCAAACAATCACAACAGAATCCTGCAGGAGTGAAGGATGCTTGTTGGTTTGCAGCTCAAACTTTGACTGAGGCAATGTCATGGCAAAAGCATTGGGAATCTATCGGCTCCCTGAGCTCCCAGGTAATTCAAAAAGTACACAAAAATTCAACATTTCTTTCTCTTTCCTGAGAATGAGTCCTGTACATGGATTTTCCACATGAAAGTAAAATGTAGTGGAGAACCCATTAGTGCATTTCTTATCTACCATGTGGAGGACATGGAACATGTTAAACTGCATCTCAAAAGACAGACTTATAATAAGGCTTATTTATGATTGCCACATTGATGACAGGACGGCGGTGATGGGTTGAAGTCAGGGCCACTTCTTGCTAAAGTAGGCCTGAGTTGGGAACATATGGAGTGAATTTTAATGTGGGCTGGTTAAAAGGCCTGTTCTGTTTGTTGGGACATCTGCCCAGTTATATACATAGGCTTCTGGCACTCTCACCGTCACCCTGTATATCCTCACTCATCTCCTTACCCCCATATATCCCATCACCCCACTATCTCTCTGTGT